ATTCTTCTCTTACCAAATTAGAGGATCAATGTTTGATCAGATGCAGAAATCCCATCCAAATGATGATGAAATGGTAATTACAGTGGCTACCATTTATTAAGCACTTACTGTATGCTAGACATTATGGTTAGGAACTTCACATGTATTACTGCATTTAAGTCCTCACCGTACTATCATGGAATAGTAATAATTATTTCCATTACACAAAGGAGGAAACAGAGGCTTAAAAGGATAAAAATATTTCCCCATATTTGCCCAGCTAGTAAAAGGCAGAACTGGTGTTTGATTTCAGGGCTCTCTGGCTCCAGCACCTGTGATCTTAATGGCTGCCTTAGAAATTTAAAGTTGCAACTAGATAGTAGATAAGAATTATCTTAGGTGAAGGGAAGGACAGCACGCACTGCAGGGGAAGTCAGCACAACTGGACTAAACCAAAGCTAAGAAGTTTCCTGAATACAATCAAACACTTTGAGGGACAGAGTAGCAGGGGTAGGGGTCTGGGGACCATGCTTTCGGGGGACATCTAGGTCAATTGGCATAACAAAGCTTATTAAGAAAATGTTCTGCATCTTACTTTGGTGAGTGGCATCTGGGGTCTTAAAAGCTTGCAAGCAGCCATCTAAGATGCATCAATTGGTCCCAACCACCTGGAGTAAAGGAGAATGAAGAACACCAAAGACACAAGGAAAGTAGTAGCCCAAGAGACAGAAAGGGCCACATAAACCAGAGACTTCATCAGCCTGAGACCAGAAGAACTAGATCATGCCCAGCTACCACCAATGACTGCCCTGACAAGGAACACAACAGAGAGTCCCGGATGGAGCAGGAGAAAGGTGGGGTGCAGAACTCAAAATTCTAGTATGAAGACCAGACTTAATGGTCTGATTGAGACTGGAGGAACCCCGGAAAGCATGGCCCCAGGATTCTCTATCAGCCCAAAACTAAAACAATTTCCGAGGCCAACTCTTCAGAGAGGGATAGGACTGGACTGTGGGACATAAAGTGATACTCATGAGGAGTGTGCCTCTTAGCTAAGTAGATACAAGAGACTAAACGGGCAACTTCTGTCCAGAGGTGAGATGGGAAGAAAGAGAGGGTTAGGAGCTGGTTGAATGGACATGGGGAATCAGGGGTGGAAAGGAGGAATATGCTGTCACAGTATGGGGAGAGCAATTAAGAGTCACATAACAACGTATATATAAATTTTTGTATGGGAAAAATAAAAAAAACTAAAAAAAAAATCTAAAGTTGAGGCACAGAAACTCGTATCAGCCTTAAATCAGAAGATGCTTAGTCAAGTCACATATCTTTTTGTCCCTCATGTTTTCCCAGCTATAAAATAAGAACAATACCTATCTTCATCACAGTGAGGATCCAGACGCTCATGGACTACATATGCTCATAGAATTCTATTTTAGAGCTGAAAAGAGTCTTGGCCACACAAATACTTGTACATAAATGTTCACAGCAGCATTATTCACAAGAGCCAGAAAGTGGAAAGAACCTAAATGTCCATCAACTGATGAATGGATAAACAAAATGTGGTATATCTATACTATGGAATATTCTTCGGCCATAAAAACAAGGGAAGTAGTGATACATGCTACAACACAGATGAAGCTTGTTAAGTGAAAGAAGCCAGATACAAAATACCACATACTGATTATTCCATTTATGTGAAATGTCCAGAATAGTCAAACCAATACAGACTGAAAGTAGAGTAGTGGTTTCCAGGTGTTAGGGGGCAGGGGAAATGGGGAGTGACTACTAGTAGGTATAGAGTTTATTTTGGGGGGAAGACCGTCTCAAATTAGGGAGTGGTGACAGTTGTACAACTCTGAATATACTAAAAACCACTGAACTGTATACTTTGAAAGGCTGTTTCATAGAATGTGAATTATATATCAATAAAGCTGTTATTATAAAAGGAACAACAACCTTGGAGGCCATAGCAGTCAAAGAAAATACTATACGTAAAAATACTCTGGACGAAAACATCACAGAAATATTGTACTACATTTTAGGTATCATACATGTCATGCTTACAAAAACACATTCTAGCTACCACTATCGACTGTTCTGACCAGAGACATAATAGAAGGTCCCAGAGAAAAATGTAGAACAAAGCTAACATTCCTAAAAAAAAAAGGCTAGACCTACTGGACAGAGAGAGACTAGAGGAATTCCCGAGACTACTGCCCTAAAGACAATCTTTGAACTTGGAATTGAAGCTATTTCTGCAGGTCACCTTTCAGCCAAATAATAGACTGGCTTATAAATGAACAATCTCACCTGTGAGTAATGTGCTCCCTTAAACAACTAACTATATGAGACCAAACATTTACCCAAAACCAAAGATGAGAAGGCAAGGAGGGGAAGGGAAGCTAGATCAATGGAAACAGAACAGAATGGAAATAATGAGAATGGTGACACACTATAAAAATCGTAACCAGTGTCATGGAATAAGGCATATAAAAACTGTTAAAGGGGAACTTAATTTGCTGTGTAAACTTTCACCTAAAATAATAAAGTATTATTAACACACACACAATACATTACATACAATGTAAGAAAAGCATGGCCTTCTACTCCCTTTGCTGGTTGCAGCCTTGTCCTAGGAGAATCTTAATTCACCTCAAAGTACTCAACTCCTCTAGTTCATTAATACTAAGTTAATAAAATGATAATAAAACGTAATCTAAACTGGCTGCTTATGGAAATCCCAGGGGCTTGTCCTGTTTAAAAAGAGAAAAGGAAAAAGGCCACGAAACTCACCAAGTGCCCATATTCAAGACCAATGAGGATAACAAGAATCTAGATCTCTGGGAAATGTTACTCTCCTACATTCTTTTGGGAGCAGCTTCTCAGGATTTTTCTACAGAGGAATTAGGCAAAGGAACTTCAACTCTAAAGATACTACTTTAGAAAAATAACCATCAATACTGAAGCAAATCCTTACCTTCATATACTGCTGAACAGAACACATTATCTCATTTTCATTTCAACAGTACTTGTGTGAGGTACAAATTTTACCCCTATTTTAAAGACAGGGAAAGTGAGGCACAAACAGAGTCACCCAGTGAATGAGAAGCATAATCAAGATTCAACACGGATCCAAATTCCAAGCCCCGTGCTCTTTCGCTATGTCACGTTAGTAGCTGCATTCTCCCTTCATCTCCCTTGGCCACCTACCTTTCACCAGATCGGAGAGTGGGTTAAATCTGCTCTGCTCACACGATTTTGTATCATGGACTTAAAAAAACCAAAAACCAAACCCATTGCTGTCCAGCTGATTCTGGCTTACAATGACCCTATCAGACAGAATACAACTGTCCCATAGGGTATTCAAGAAGCAGCTGATGGGTTCAAACTGCTGACTTTTTGGTTGGCAGCCCAGCTCTTAACCACTGTACCACCAGGGCTCCATCATGAACTTAGTCCCCAAGAAATCTTAATTTTCCCTTTACTTGTTCTAGTTTGTTGTATTCATTCCTTAAGTTTCCATAAGAAACTCCTGCCCAGAGTATTTACTAAATGTTTTTGTACAAGTAAATCAATCTGGCCAAGTCTAGCTGGTTAGTTTATTTAACCTTTCATGAATAATAAATGAAAAGACTCAAAAACCTATAAAATCTTTCAAGGATAGACACTCCCTTCTCAGTTACTGAAAAAGTATTTAGAACAGAGTCAGAAATAGTGTTAACTGAGATGGCCTTGTGAAACGACTTTTTTAAAAACTGTCCAACTCTTGTTTCCCAACCAAAGAGGTTAAGGTGATTTGATTCCCTAAATGGGAAACTTGTGGGTAAGATCTTTAGTTCTACCTACTACCTCAATTCTCAAGTTTTACATACATTCTGATATTTCCCTGAAACTGGCTATTTTCCAAGATATTTGGCATCATTTCCTCTCCCCCTCCCCATCTCCTAAAGTCAACATTTACTTCACACTTACTTGTGAGGTATGTAGGTTTTCACCAATCTCAGAGTACGCAAAGGAAATATCTATGGCACAAACTAGTTAAACAACTTTGTACTATGCCACCATCAAATGAGTGGAAGAGCCAGGACTTTAACCACAAGCTGCTCTAGCTAAACTTCCCCAAAGACCTAAGCACCAAACCTAACCATGGGGATAAGTTGGCGCTTTCATGAGAACATTAGCTCTTAGAGATGAGATCAGAGTAGCTCTTTCTCTCTGTTAACTAAAGAGTTAGCAGTTCTATTTTTAACACATAGGAAGGACTGAGATACAACAGTAAATCCAGTTCTTTATTTCCAACAGTAGGTTGATTTAGAGATCAGGGCACTAACAACATTCCTGCATTTGTTAAAAAGGTATGTTCTGTATTTAGATTAGATTTCTACCTATTCAGCTCTCAACCTCCTTCTTTGTAATGATTTTATATCCTTGACCTTGGTTAATTAATACCAGGACACCACCCTATACAGCACAAGTAAGAATTTTTACTTAATGCAGACATTAAAAAAACAAATTTTAAATACAGACACACACCTCCTATCGCATTTAAATAACACGAAAGTATGTATGCACACAAATGCAACAACATCTGCTCTAGAAATTTTCCCTAAGCTTTTCAGTTTAAAGATGGCACCTTTTAATATGTGAACTAAACACACTAAGATAATTTCCCCAGTGACAGGCTTTCTCTAGGTAAGGGAATCATGGACTTCTAGATCTATAAGGAACATCAGAAATCATTAAGCACAGCTCCTTCATTTTACAAATGAGAAAACTCCCAAGTTAAGTGATTTGTCAAAGTCTCATAGCTTGTTAATGACAAGGATTGGTCTTGGTTCCTGACTTCTAGTTCAGCACTGCCGAAGTTCTTCTAGGTGCGAGATACTTAGCTCACTGATATCAAACCCACAGGCAACAAGAATCAGAATTGCTGTTACCATCTACATGGCTGACATTTCAGAGAAGCTCTGTTTTAACTTTTAGAATTTTACCCCATGAATTCTTAACTCATGACTCACCCTGCTGAGTTGATCCAGTAACCTTTGGTTCTGTTCGGACAGTTCCTGCACCTCCCGTGTTTTTTCTCGATCTGCTTCCCGCAGGTGAACTTGCTGCCTCTCCAACTCATCCTGAAGCTGTTTCACATCACTCTCCAGCTCGGACACTCGCCCTTCCCATTCCCCTTCTCGGTTCTCAAATCGTCTTCTTAGTTCGTGTTTCTCTTGTTCTAAGTGCTGGATGAAAATTTTTTAAACTGTTAAAAATTCCACAGCCTTTGTTTTCTCTCTTTTCACAGACTCCTAATTTTCTTTTCCCCAGTCAGTCAGCAAACAAAACAATCTGCCACATAGGACAAATGTATGTTACCCAATTTGCAGCTATAAAAGTATTCCCCTCATCCAGATCAGGGAAGGAATTTGTTTCACAAACAGAACACCACCCCTATTGAAAACACTTAATGGTATTATGTTCATTACTGTCCTTGGGCATGCCGTTCTAGATTTAGGCAGTCACTTGAAATTTAGCAAGTCATCTGATCAATGGATGAACTGTATATTTAAACAGTCCCATAACTAAAATACTCATTATGATTTTAAGAAGGCTTCTTTCAGAACCATCTCTTATGCCTGGCATCATAATACCTGGCACTTAGAAAAACAGAATTTTCATAGCTGGAAAGAACTTCAGAGATCCTTTAATCATCTCTTCTTACAAACGCAGCAACACAGGATGAAAGAGAGGTTAAGCATTCAAGGTCAATACTAGTAAATAGCAAAGCTGAGATTTGTCACTAAGTCCCTTGACTCTGTTTAGTGCTCTAAGTCGTAACTCAATAAATATTTCTTGATATATACAAAAAAAAAAACTGCTGTAGATTCCAAATCATAGCATAGCCCCATAGGGTTACCAAAGAGTGACTGGTAGATTCGAACTGCTGACCTTTCGGTTAGCAGTCGAGCTCTTGACCACTGCACCACCAGGGCACCTGTTGCCATATTGAAAACTGTACTTCAAAATCATTAAGGTAATCTCAGGTTCAGGCCTACTTTAAATCATGGCCCATTAAGCCTTGCATATTTATTTCTGTTCCATTCATTCATTCTTGAGTGGCTACTGTGGGCCAGGTACTGTCCTGGGGACACAGTGATGAACAAAACAGATAAGGTCCCTGTCTTCACAGAGCTTTCATTCTAGTGGGGGAGACTGATCGGCGTATTCAGCTGTGTGTGACAAGTGCTATTCAGGAAAAATACAGATGGTTGGAAGTAGCGGTTCAACAGAAAGGGATTCCTTCGGATTAAAGAAATAAGAACATTTTTGTTTTTGTTTCAGTGAGATAAATATGGTGACCTCAAAAAAGCATAATATGTGCAAAAGCCAAGTCTATATCTCAAGGAGTACATGAAGTGTAAGCTAAACTAATGGTCCTTAATTTTTGGTGCCCTCAGAAAAGTTCTGTAATTGTTCAAAATAACACCGACCTGGACCCCTGGACCCCAGTTCCTAAGACTGTTAAGGAGGGATGAGGCCTAAACATCTTTTTTTTTTTTTTTTTAAGCCTACAGGAAATTCTGATGTACACGCAAGGTTGATATTAAGCACTGAGGTTGTTTCAATCAGCTAAAATGAGCATGTGAATTTTCTCCTTCACAGTACGCAATTATCTCTTCACCTTGAGAATCTATACTCTTATTCTATCAAAGTTTCCATCTTTTAAAACATTTTCTGGAATGCTTCCTTGGAAAGTCTTAAGGGTCAGTTTATAGTCATGCAACAAAGTCAGTCCCATTACTTCACATCTGAGGTTTGTTTAAAAATGAGATTATAAACTTTTGTCCTGCCATCTTATTCCTCTAACTCTGCTCTGAAAAAAAAGCTCTGATGGCACAGTGGTTAAAGCACTCAACTACTAACTGAAAGGCCAGGAGTTTGAAACTACATGGCTCTGCTGGAGAAAGATGTGGCAGTCTGCTTCCGTAAAGATTTACAGCCTTGGAAACCCTATGGGGTTGCTGTGAGTCAGAATTGACCCAATAGTAGTAGGTTTGTTTTTCTGGTTTTTGGTTGTTCTGAATAGCTTGTTGACATTTCTTAAGACAAAGGTACCCCAAAAGATGAAAATTTACCATGATGAAGAGTAATCGAAAGAATGTGCCAGAAGATTAAAAAGGTGATCCAAAACGAAAATTCTGCGCACACTAACAAAGGCAGTATTTACTGAAATAAACACACAGCCACCCAAGTAGATGACTTTCAAGGGGATAACTTATTTGGATATAGCCACTCTAGTTACAGTATTTGTTGAAAAAGCGCATTACTTTATAGTTATACTTTTTACAGCCTCAGTTATCGAGCATGTGGGAAAGGAATGCAAGGGAGGGACTTCTACTCATCAGCGTGAGAATTTCCTGCTCCATGCTTCCTTCTTCATATTGCTAAACTTCACAAAATGAGAATGTTCTAGCGACTGTAGAAACTTCAGAAAGATGGAATGCAGAAACAAATGCTAATTGCAATCCTAAAACTGTGGTCCTTTGGTTTTATCGAGTTTTCCCAAAACAAAAAAAGACTGAGCAGAAGGCAACAGCAAGAGCTCACTAATCACAGTGTTACTGAGGCCAGATAAATTAGGCCTGTGTTCTAAAAGAACAGAGAGACTTCAAAATATTCAGCAAACAGCTGTTAGTGAACAGCCCAATCAAGCAACTAAAATAATCCAATCCATGTTGGAGGGCGGGGGGTGGGGGAACGGGTTGGGGACAGGTGGTGCTGATTAGTCTATTCTGTCCTTACAGTTCTATGGACAAGAGGCAAATTTCCTATTTCAGGTTTCCCAAACGTTTGGGGGGGAAAAAAAAAAATCAAGATTTTCCTATTAACGAACAAACTCCAGGCAGAATGTCAGGAAGTGTAGGGGCCAGGCTTTGTCCATGCTTTCCCTTGTTTCTTGGGGTTCTAGGGTATTTTCAGTGCCAACATCAAAACTATCAAGGTCATCAAAAACAAGCAACGTCTGAGAAACTGTCAAAGTCAAGGGGAGCCTAAGAGATATGAAAACTATATGTAATGTGGCACTGTGGATGGGATCCTGGAACAGAAAAAGGTAAAAGCTAAGAAAATCTAAATAAAATAGTTAATAATGGAGTTCCTGGGTGGCACAAACGGTTAAGTGCTTGGCTGCTAACCAAAGGGCTGGAGATTCAAGTACACCCAAAGGTGCCTTGGAAGAAACTCCTGGCGATCTACTGCTGAAAAAATCAGCCATTAAAAACCCTATCCATGGAGCACAGTCCTACTCTGACACACATGGGGTTGCCATGAGTCTGAGCTGACTCAACGGCAACTGGTTTGTTTTTTTTGGTTTTAGTTAATAATAATGCAGCAATATTGGCTCATTCACTAATTGTGGCAAATGTGTCATACAAATGTAAGATGTTAAAGGGAAAACTGAGTCCGGGGTATCTGGGAACTCCGTGTACTCTTTTTACAATTTTTCTGTAAATCTAAAACTGTTGTAAAAAAAAAAAAAAGTCTATTTAAAACTCCATAAAACAAAAGTCAACATCATTAGCCTACAATAAAATAGGTATTTACAGAAATGCACTTCTGCAAAGGACCAAAAAAGCAACCTGGTAACTGAAAAATACTAAGAAAAAGTACTGTTATTTAAGTGGACCAAGCACTGAATGCAAATCAGGACCTTGGGTTAGCTTCCCTAAATCTACCCGTGACTCCCATTAGGTAATCACTTTCATCTCAATTTTTTGCTCTTTTGAAAAAAGATATTAGAATCATAAGAACTGGCCTAGGAATAGGGGAAGAAAACATAAGAAAGGAAAGAGATTATCTCTGCTGTGCACACTTCCATAGAAAACACAGTATTATTTTTAAAAAAAAGACTATCTCAGCAGTAAGAGATAATTCACTCTCAGCAGCAATGGAAAAAAAATGGAAATGCTGTACATTAAAAACAACTAAAAAAATGAAAATATTTAACCCCTAAAGAAAACATTTTATAAATGTAAGTTACTATCCTAGTTTATATTCTAGGAATAAATGACGTGGTTGGGTATAAGTTTTAAAAGCAAAAGGACTAATTGTAGATACAGAAGAAATAAATTTTAAAAAAATGCCTTTAGAACTTTAAGTGTATGCAAATCTGTTTAGTAAATGAATCATTAAATACAGTATAGCCAATTCAAGGATGAAAGAAATGCCCCAAAACTTACAGCTTTAAAATTAAATAGACTCTTCCTTTTAACCCTGAGCTAAAAAACTTCTAATTCAACCCTTTACAACATTAAAGTCTTTTAAGAGAGAGAACTGAAAAATCCAAACCCACTGCCATCTAGTTGATTCCGACTCACAGCAACCCTACAGGACAGGGGAGAACTGCCCTATATGGTTTCCAAGGAGTGGCTGGTGGATTTGAACTGTTGACCTTCTGGTTAGCAGCTATAGCTCTTAGGAAACCCTGGTGGCGTAGTGGTTAAGACAGACAGTTTGCCTTTAACAAGAGTGTGGTGGCCTAACCAGTACACCACCAGGGTTTCCTGAAAGAGAGAGAGAGCGTATGCCTTTAAAGAGAGTATAGAGGTGCAGTGGTCGGCAATTCGAATCCACCAGCCACTCCCCGGAAACCCTATGGGGCAGTTCTACTCTGTCCTATAGGGTCGCTATGAGTCGGAACTGACTCGGTGGCAACGGGTTTTTGGTACAGGGTCAAGTACTTTATGTTTTAAATGACAAAACAGAAAATCTTGGGTCTGACACGAAGATCTGGAGAGATGTTCAATGTTAACTGATGAATAGGTAGAAAAGATACTGAAAATGCTTTTTTGCTCTGAAGTTAAAAAAGGTGCTAGTTTCAAAACAAAGTAAAGGAGCAGATAAAACTAAAATAAAACCACTCTATAATATTCAAACCCCACTCTTCTCTAAGGAGTCCACTCATGTGTTTACCTTTTAAATTGACTTGTACAAAATGTGTTTGATTCCACTGTCTGACAGTGTGTGGGAAATTATCAGTGCTTCTTAAAGTAAGGGCTAGTTCCCTACTCCACAATGTTCAATTTAATTGAAAAGGTAGTTCCAGTGTTAAACTTTAGAAACTTTGTCTAAGCATTCTAAAATTTAGACTGCTTAAGAAATATACTGTTGGAAAAACTCACTCACAGCTATCAAATGAAGTAGTCCCATGTTAATCAGGTTTGTCACTCTCATATTAACACTAAAAGCATTCATAAGCAACCAACACCAATATCTTTATATCTTAAAATGTGTATTTTTAAAAACTCATGATAATTTTCAAACATACCCTAGAGGGAATAGTATAACTGAACCCCCATGCACACATGGCTCATTTCAACAATGACTGATATTTGGCTGTTAAAAAATTTTTTTTAACACTAGAGTTTGTATGCTGACCTACAGACGAATGAAGGTTAAAAAAAAATAGTTTAAGAGCTTTAAGCTATTTCACTGGTGTCTACCAAGTCAATAATTAAAAGTTAAAGGTAGTTTATTCTTTTACAATAGAACATTTCTTGTTACAGCAGAATTTTGAAATCTTTTCCTTTTGTTGAAGAAATGTATAAAGGCTCCACATGGAACCCAGGATGTGTGTAACTGCACACTCAGGATTACCATGAAATCTATCACTAATCAAACTGACTGATGTGATGTTCCTTTCAAGTTGTCTGTCTCTTCAATCAAGTCTCTCACTGAAAGAATCTGAAATCACAAGTATAAATCTCTGCAGTAGTAGTTCTTTATAGAGTCGTGTAATTGAATCTCTTTAAAAAAAAAAAGACACCCTTTTATTTCTAGACCTCTACTTCAAGTGAAAATTAAACAATTCAATTCATTGGGTTGCTTTTTGGCAGTCTACCCATAGGTTTCAAAGACCACTTTTCAGAGACATGTCTCAGGAGTTCATTGACTGGCAGACCTAGTTAACAGGCCAACTGAACTACAGGGCACTCACTGGTTTCCTTTTTTCCCCGTGATTTACTTTTGATATGTTGTGGGACTACAGACACTTAAATATTATTATAGAAAAGTTTCTGAATCTACATTCTGACTGTTCAACCAGTAGCAGTGATAAGGAACTGGACTAGGATCAATTTCACACCTTTTATACAGGACTACTACTGTACTCTTCTCTTGTTGTAACTAACAATGAAAAGAACTGGTCACAACCAAACTGGGTAACAATAGTAAACGCACAGGCAGAAATGGATAAGCTTGTCTCCACTGCCATAGATGGCCCCCGGCCCTTGGTTTTTTGCAAGTCTTTCTCACTTTTAAGAAATGCTGGCAGTCTGTATCACATTCAGGGCCCTTTTCTAGTTAAGGGCAAGAAAACGAACAGGCATTATCTCAGAAAGCCTTGGTCTCAAGAATTAGCAAAAATATTACAGATACTATAAGGGTATTGATAACAGTAAAGTAATATGGTTCCCATACGTTGCATTTGACCATCCAACTGCAGGCATGAGACCCAGAATATAGACAGCATAATTAAATACACATAAATACTGAGGCCTAAATTAAATCCACTACCAGCGGTCACATGTTGAGCCCTGGCATGCAGGCTCGCCTGATTGCTGCAATGGAACCACATTTCCTAATCCCTGAGTATTTGAAGACTATATAAAGCTCCTTGAGGGGCACTTGTTTCCCACAACTCTGAGCTGCCAGGAAGTTAAGACAAGGGCATCTGGAGGCCTTAAAGCCCAAACTGGAAAGCTTTAGGCTAACACCCTGATTAGAGATTACTTCTGGGAAAGCCTGAAGCATATTTTAAATGCTCCCCGACTTTCTCCTGCTCTCTGTGTGCACACATCATCTCGGTGCTGTATAAATTAATCATACTGTAAGCTCTATTTTAGACACTGTGTACAGTACATATATAGAATGGCCCACAGCGGCGGGACCCGTGCATGGTCTCACTTGCTGTGAGCAGGGTGGGAAAGTCAGGTGGGTTCAGTGTAGAACCTGGTCTGACAATCCGAGATCCCCCGCCCAAGCCCCTTTCCAGGAGGTTTTCTGCGAGGTAGGGTGGGTAAGGAAAGGCTGTCCATGGCCGAGCAGATGCCTGGGCTCCCACTGCCTCCCACCCACCCCGGGCGGGGGGTCTTCACCTCCAACTTGTCCGTCAGCTCCTTATGCATCTGCTCGTACTGCCGGCTCATGTCCTGGTTCCTCTCGAGCAGCGCCTTGCCCAGCCTGGCTGCCAAAACCAGATCCTTCTCCTTCTGCTGGATCACCGACAGCAGCTCGGGATCCTGAGTGGGTGGCGACTGCGGCCCGGCCCCCTCGGCCAAAGGCCCGGGCTCGGCCTGAGGATGCTCCCCGGGGTCGCACGGCCGCTCCCCGGCCGCCAACAGCGCCAGCTCCTCCTCTAACGTCAGTTCCAGCTCCCCCGGGCCTCCGGGGAAGGAGATGAGGGCGGCGGCGGCTGGACTCGCGAGTGCGTCCCCGGCCGCGGCGGGCAGCTCCATGCAGCAGGCGCTGTCCGGCTCGGCGGGTGCTGAAGCGCGGCCGGCCAAGCCCAGGCAGAAGGCGGACATGGCCCGCGCGCGCGGTGCCCGC